GGGGAGACACTATGGGACAAGGGCAGGGGGACACACTATGGGAGGGAAAGTGCACTATGGGACAATGGGAGGGGGGACACTATGGGATCAGAACACTAATGGACAAGGGGAGGAGGGGTTAAAGAACACTATGGGACAGGGTAGGAGGGGTTAACAATCACTATGGGACAGGGTAGGAGGGGTTAACAATCACTATGGGACAGAGGAAAGGGGGGTTAAAGATCATTATGGGACAGGGGAGAAAAAAAAATATTCTGAACAAACTGTCCCATGGTATGAAACACTATGGAACAGTTTGTTCAGAATATTTTTTTTTCTGGGTTTCCTCCTCTAAAAACTAGGTGCGTCTTATGGTGAGGTGCGTCTTATGGAGCGAAAAATACGGTAATTATTAACAAAAGATATGAGATTATTGCTAGATAATGTAAGAAGAAAAATTGTATCAAGAGATGAGGGGAAGGGGAGAAAAACTTTTAACGAGAATGTAAAATTACTAACCAGATTTAGGTTGAAATGGAAGAGTTTGGACTTGCCCTTGGAAAGCGTACTAAACCTGAATATCTGTTTATAGAAGGGAAACAAAAAGGCAGGAAAACTTTATTTTTATATGTATTTTAGTTTGTTATAACAGAATGACTGAGAAAAAGAAGGGGAGAGAGAAAGAAACAAAAAAAATTATTTATATAATCTCTGAATTAAATTTTATAACTGGATGGCGTCATAGTGTCATTATTTTGGAGGGCACGGGGAAACAGAAAAAATAGCGAAAAAAATAAATAAATAAAACTTTAATCTAGTTAACTTGAACTAACATAATGCGAGTTTTAAAATGCTATTGTATTTAACTAATTTCTTTTTTAAATAAATACAAGCATCTAACAGAATAAATAATAATAAAAAAAAAAATTGGAAATCCAACCTCAAACCGAGCTGAGAAGGAGAATAGCATTATATGAATAGTCCTTTCATTATGTGGAACAGATATTTGCATATGAAATGAATTATTCGAACATATTGAAATTGACAGAGACTGAACCGAAAGATATTATGAATGGAAACTAATGAAACGCTCACTAATGGAAATGAAACTTATGAACAGTTTAACCAACCTCAAACGAAAACAGCATACTTATAGTATAAATAAGAAATTCACATAAATAATAGCCGAACAGTAATGCATGAAACCCAGTGAAATGACATAGTGTTAATATGCAAACCAAACTAATTTTATTTCCTGGGAAAGAAGGGAGAAAAAAGTAAAATACACGAGAGGGAAACCTTCATACAAACTAAAATTACTTCATTCATTCATTCTCATGCAAGCAATATGTAATCCTGGGTGCATATAAATAATTTACTTGAAAGCTTCACCTTAAATTACTTACTGTCCCAGTAGTTATGTCACCATCTGGAGTGCCCGCCCGGCTCGCTCCCTTAGTCCCTCTGCAAACTGCAGTCTGTCTGTTGACTTTCTAGTCCCTCTGCAATCTCCAGGCAGAGTAAGGTTTGGCTGCACCTTCCATCCATGTCTCTGTTTCCCTCCATTCCATGTCTCTCCCCATCCATGTCTCTCTACCCTTCCATCCATATTTCTCTCCCATCCATGTCTCCCTCTCCCATCTATGTCTCTAATATCATGCAGGTCTTTCATGTGTTTTCCCTCCTTCCATTCATATCTCCCCCATGTCTCCCTCCCTACTCATTCCATTCATGTCTCTATCCCCTATCATGTTTCCTCCCCCTTTTCATTCATCTCTCCCTCTCCCCCTTCCATTCGTATCTCTTACCCCATGTCTTCCTCCCTACACATTCCATCCATGTGTCTCTCCATTCACACCTCTTTCCCTTCCTCCCCCCATGTCTCCCATCCTACCCCTTACATTTATACTCTCTTCTTCCCTATTGTCAGGCAGCTGTACCTTCACACCTTCACCTCGGACACCGGCTATGCCCTTCCGTTTTACCTGACATGGGAGCCACTCGCTCTCCGGCGGCACGCTGACAGATTGAGTACTGGCTAATCATGTGACACCCAGCGCTCCTATGCAGAGCGGGAGGCTCTCCCCCTCCTTGTGTACTGTGCGTGAGGCTCCATAAAGGAACCGCATGCTGCCTGAGGTGGCAGGCTGAGTCTGACAAGTGATTTTGGTGCCCCTTGACAGGTGCTCCTGATTGGCTGGCCCACAAGGAAGGTCCTTGTGGGCCGCGAGTTTGACATGCTTGATGCATTGTATAAATATCAGTGTGTGTGTAAAAAATAAAATGCAATCACTAGGTGGCGCTCCAGTGACACACAAGCAGAGCTGCACATGAGGTGAAATAGAACGCTCCACAAAAATGATCCTATCGATCTAAATCGGGGGTGTCAAACTAATTTGTTCTGGGGGGCCAAATTGTTCACTGACATAGGTACGCAGAGCTGCATGCATAAAATTGATATATACACACGTGTGCAAAAAAGGAAAATCAGGGATCTAAATTGTTTCCTGCTACAAAAAAATAGTTTTAAAGAGAATAATAGTGTTTATTGGTAGATAGTGAGAGATTATATGAGCGAGACAGAGGGAATTGTTAGAGTGCTTGAAGCAGATCTCAGCATCTTCAAATTAAATATGCAGTGAGAGATAAAACGCTTTGTAATCTGGGCCAAATTAGCACTCATGGATGGTATCAGTTGCCTGCAATTGTATTTCTCTGACAGCATGCTGACTGTACCTGTAAGGGGAGTCTACAACTACCCAGATAGAGAAAGATTAGAAGTATAAATCTGCCTATCTAACTAATCAAGAGAGACTCTTGGCAATTCAAAAAGAAACAAACACTGGATACAAAGTATTAAGATATAGATAGAGAATAACAATGTCGCTGCCACAGGGAATTAAACAATGTATAAATATCTGTGTTTGGGAAAAATGTAATAAAATCACTAGATGGCGCTCCAGTGACACCTACAAGCAGTAGTAGAGTTATACATCTGTTAAAATAGAATGCGCCACAAAAACTTACCCTATCAATCTAAATCACGGGTCTCAAAGTAATTTGTTTTGGTGGGCCAAATTGTTGACTGAAATGGGTATGGAGGACCGAATGTATAAAATATATACATGTCCGCAAACATGTGAAAAAGCAATCTAAATTGTTTCTTACTATAAAAATGAGTTAGCATAAATAGAACGATGGGAGTGAAGATTTTATAAATATACATATCAATGTTCCATAGAACAATACACCAGAGTGGCATGCAGCCATTTTGAACAGGCAATTCCTGGAAGCTTGAACGTGTTTGTCTACCTACTTTTTTGCTGTCACTCTATTATTGGATGGATTTCTGAATCTGATCTATTCCGCTATCTGGAGTATATGTCTAATTTCTAGTAGGAAGTGGACGATATTATGCCAGCTTACTCATTTGTCTTCAATTAACAGCAGGTAAGACTCGCCTACACTATAATCACCTGCCTGACATCATGCAGGACCCCCTAGTACAGCCAAACAGCTCTGATGCGTGCAGGCATGGACTCTACAAGACCTCTGAATGTGTCCTGTGGGATCTGGCACCCTTACAGCACATTATATAAGTTCTAGGCATGTGCATGGGGAAAAATTTCGGTTCGGTTTGGTATTCCGAAATTCGGAACTTCGGCATTTCGGGACTTCAGCACTTCTCTTGCAGCCGCTTAGTAGATAACTCCCTAATTGCCACAGTATTAGGGAGTTATCTACCAAAAGGCTGAAAGACCTAAATTGGTCTTTAAGACAAATTTACTAATACTAAGTAAAAAATTACTTAGTATTAGTAAATTGTGCCCCTACTCGCTATACTGCAAGTAGGGGCATGTCTATTAAACAGTGAGCAGCCAGTGGTTGCTCACTGTTTAAAAAAAAAAAAAAAGTGTCCCCTCTTCCGAGCCCCCACCCGTGCCGCGCGACTGGGGGCTTATGCAAGTCTGAGTTTTAAAAGCTCCCTACTGCAATCCAGAACATAGCTCAGATCACCTCCAGCCGAAGCTGTGCCTTATGCAAGGTAGACAATGGAGGACTCTATCAACCCCTAATACTGGACGCTGTCACGTTATTGCAATTTAACTACTTGTATATTTTTTAAACATTGTATCTTTAACTACTATTTCTTTGTCACTGTAACATACCTGGGCATGCTTGTTCTTTACTATATGTGTGTATATGTTTTTGTATATATATGTATGTGTATGTGCTTATTCATACATACATGCATATATTTTGTAGTTTGTCTCGTTCTGCATGCTAAAGGTAGTTGCTCCCTACCCTACTCATCATTGTTGGTTTGGTAACTTAAATATTATTCAACTATCTCTAATCTCTAAAGACTTTCTCTGTTATTTCTGCCCCCCGCCCCCCTTTATTTTATTGATACCCACCCGAATGGTCTTGCTTGACCAATCCTCACCTCCTCTGTGCATCTTCATTCCATAGTTTTATTGCAGGCTTTTTTTGACCCTATCCTCTCTCTTTCCACAGTCTGAGTTTTAAAAGCTCCCTACTGCAATCCAGGACCGAAACGAATTGCACATGTCTAATATGTTCTTTATCCTGCTGAAAGAGCCCACTGCAGTCAAGGAAGATGTGTACATTGACCTGAGCATAGCACTGCCTCCGCCAGCCTGCCTATTTCCCATAGTGCATCCTGCTGCTATTTCTTACCTAGGTAAATGACACACATGCACCTGCCCTCTACCTGTTCTAAAAGTAAATGTAATTCATCAGACCAGGCAATCTTCTTCCATTGCTCCGTGGTCTAGTTCTGCATGCTCACATCCACATTGAAGGCACTATTGGTGGTGTTCAAGGGTCATCATGGGAATGTTGCCTGGTCTGCTGCCCATGTGCAGCAAACTGTGATGGACTATGTGTTCTAAAACCTTACTGTTGTGGCCAGCATTAAAGGGTCACTATAGTCACCAAACCTACTTTAGCTTAAAAAAACAGTTTGGGTGTATAGATCATGTCCCTGCAGTCTCACTGCTCAATTCTCTGCTATTTTGGAATTAAATCACTTTGATTATGTAGACTAAATCACAACTCCCAGGCTATGACTTGCACAGCCTTCCTAAACACTTCCTGCTAAGGTCATCTAATGTTTACACTTACTTTATTGCACAGTCTGTTTAATTTAATATCTCTTAACTACTGCAGTGCTTGCTAGCCTCCTGTCTGTGATTAAAGTTGGATTTAAAGAGCAGGAGATAAAAACTTCTAAAGCAAGTTAACTTATCTGATTGAAAATCATCTTTCATGCAGGCTGTGTGAATCCCAGCCACGGGCAATTTGACTAGGGCTGCATAAACATAAATTAAAATGATCTAACTCATAAATGGCAAAGAATTGAGCAGTGAGAATTCAGAGGCATGACCAATACACAAAAACGGTTTCATTAAGCAAAAGTTGTTTTGGTGACTAGTGTGTCCCTATAATTTTTTTTAGCAATATGAGCCACAGTAGTTTTGTGTGATCAGACCAGATGGGCTAGCCTTTGCTCCTCATATACATCAATGAGCCTTGGGTGCCCATGACTTTGACTCCAGTTCACTGGTTCTCTTTTCTTGCAACACTTTTGGTAGGTACTAACCACTGCATAGTGGGTACATTCCACAAGGTTTGATGTTTTCAGGGGTCATCTAGCCATTACTATTTCCCTTGTTAATGTCACTCAGATCTTTTCCCTTAACCAAAAACTGACTGTTCACTTGCTGCCCAATTTATCCCACCTTGTGACAGGTGCCATTGTAATGATATAATCAATGTTATTCACTTAACCTGTCAGTGGTTTTAACGTAATCTCTACGTTAGGGTGTGCTCTGCCATCCTATAAAAAGAGGGCTTTAACTCCCTCTTAGCCAAAATACCCTACTCTCGTATTATGATCCCATGACTCAGATTGGCTTGACTGGCTGCATGGGCACTGTCTCTGCTGTCAGGCAGGTTCCCCAATTTACAATGATTAAAATAAGTTAGGTCTGGAAATATTTGGACACTGGTACTAGTTTTGTTATTTCAGCGGTTTACCAAAATGAGTTACAGTTAACTAATGAATATGGGATTAAAGGGCAGTCTATCAGCTTTAATTTGAAGTTATTCACATCCAAATTGTGGGAAGGGTTTAGGTTTGTTTAATATGACCAAAAGTTTAAAAAATTGACTCAAAAGCTGTTTCATGGACAGGTGTGTTCCTTTATTTCATCATTAATTAATCAGGTAAAAGATCTTGAGTTAATTCCAGGTGAGGCATTCATATTTGGAAGCTGTTTATATGAAACCCCAACAATCCTCCTCCATCAATGTAACTCTCAGTGCACATAAAGCAAGTCATTCTTAGGATGCAAAAAAAAAATTCCATCAGAAAGATAGTAGAAACATTAGGAGTGGCAAAATCAACAGTTTGGTGCATTCGGAGAAAAAAAGAACACACTGGTAAGCTCTGCAACACAAAAAGGACTGGATGTCCATGGGAATCAGTGGTGGATGATAGTAGAATCCTTTCAATGGTAAAGGAAAACCCCTTCTTCACAACATCCAGCCAAGAGAAGAACACTCTCCAGGTGGAAGTCTTATCATTATCCAAGTCTACCATAAAGAGAAGATTTCACAAGAGGAAATACAGAGGCTTTAGCAAACCATTCATAAGCCTCAAGAATAGAAAGGCCAGATTAAACTTTGACCAAAAAAAACAAACTAAAAATGCCAACCCAGTTCTGGAACAGCATTCTTTGGACAGATAAAACGAAGATGAACCTGTACCAGAATATGGGATAGGATGACCTGAAGCATACCAAATCACCTGTAGTGGAGGCAATGTGATGGAATGGGCATGCATGGCTTCCAATGGCACTTGGTCACTAGTGTTTATTGCTGATGTGCCATAATACAGAAACAGCCGGATGAATTCTGAAGGGTATTGGGACATAATACCTGCTTAAATTCAGACATATTCAGTGAAGTTGATTAGCCAGCGCTCACTTTACTGATGGACAATGAACCACGACATACTGGGAAAGCAACCCAGGAGTTTTTAAGGCAAAGAAATGGAATTTCCGTGATGGCGGACACAATCACCAGAACTAAACCTGATCGTGCATGCATTTCACTTGCTAAAGACAAAACGCAAGGCAGAAAGACCCATGTACAAACAACTTAAGACAGCTGCAGTAAAGGCCTGGCAAAGCATCATAAAGGAGGAAACCCAGAGTTTGGTAAAGTCCACGCTTTCTCGACTTCAAGCGGTCATTGCCTGCAAAGGATTCTTGACAAAGCATCAAAATTAACATTTTATTTATGATTGTGCCGACTTGTCCAATTACATTTGAGCCCCTGGAATAAGGGGATTGTGTATGAAAATGGTTGCAATTCCTAAACGTTTTGTAAAATATTTTTGTTCAACCCCTTGAACTACAGCTAAAAGTCTTCACTTCAACTGCATCTTGATTTTCATTTCCAATCCATTGTGGTGGTGTATGTAGCAAAAATGATCAGTTTCCAAATATTTATAGACCTAACTCTATGTATATGTGTGCACTAAGATCCTGTGGGACTTTCAGATCCAGATGGACAAGCAAGTACTGGCCAACCAGCCTCACATGGTGGTAGACAAGGAACGTAAGACTGCAGTAGTGGTGGATGTGGCAGTACCCAGTGATTAGAACATCAAGAAAAAAGAACATGAGAAGATTGACAACTAGCAAGGACTGATCTAGAAAGGATGTGGAAAATTAGGCAGTAGTAGTCCCAGTTGTGATAGGAGCACTCGGGCTGTGACTCCCAAGTTGGGGAAGTGGCTTCAACAGATTCCAGGTGGGACATCTGAGATCGCTGTCCAGAAGAGTGCAGTTCTAGGAACAGCTAGGATACTACGCCAAACCCTCAGGCTTCTAGGCCTCTGGTAGAGGACCCGAGAATGCGGAGGGGTGAGAATAAAATTTTTATATATATATATATATATATATATATATATATATATATATATATACATACACACACACACACACACACACACACATATATACACACGGTGGCCCAAAAGTAAATATACAGTTGAATCAATTAAATTCATCACAACATATTATATGGGTACACAGTGGCGTACTAAGGGGTGGGCGGAGGGGGTGGTCTGCCCCGGGTGCCACCAGGGTGGGGGGTGCCATGACCAGGAGTGCCAGCCCCCCCATGCTGCAGCCGCCCGAGCGCTCTGTAGAGAGCCTCAGGCGGCTGCAGCTTTCCCGGGCTGGTGCGTCCATAAGGGCGGACAGCCCGGGCGCAGCCTGAGGAGAGGGGCTGACAGGAGAGGGCCTGTCACTCCCTCACTGTAGCGTGGCCGAGCCCTCTATTGGTCCGCGGGTACAGGGAGCATCTGTCTCCTGTACCCGGCCGGACTAACAGGAAGTGCACACTGAGGGTGCACTTCCTTTTAGTCTGGCCGGGTACAGGAAACAAAAGCTCCCTGTACCCGCGGACCATACAGAGCTCGGCCACGCTACAGCAAAAGTAGGGGGGGAGGGGAGAAAGAGAAATTGGGAGAGAAGGGGGGGAAAGATTGACATTCATCACACAATGCACCCCTTGCACACAGAAAAACACACAATGCATTACACACACAGACACACATACACAAGCAATGCAACCGTTACACACAATGCATCCCTTACACACACACAAACACACCTTGCAGCCCTTACACATACAAACACAATTTCACACAATGCATTCCTTACACACATATCAGGACATCCCCTACACACTCCACCCCCTGTGAACAAACTCATTGGTGGAACATGAAGGTGGACCCTGGGACCCAGACCTTAAGCTGTGTAAAGGACCCCCAAAAAATGGAGCTGCTTCCCGTTCTCCCAGAACATTGATTTTTGTGACCACAGTTACAAACCTCCTCCAGAGAGCCTGTTCTACATCAGACCAGTGGAGCCAGACTGCAGCTAGAGCCCATCATCATCCTCATCTGGTTGTAAGTAGGCAATCTAGTATATTATTCGTGGCACTAAGCTCTAATTTACCTCACATTAAAGAAACACTATAGTCCCCAGAACCACTTCAGCTTAATGTAGTGGTTCTGGTGTCTATAGCCTGTCCCTGCAAGCCTTTTAATGTAAACACGGTGGCACTGCAGCACTGGCGTTAGTTAACATGGCAAATCATATGGGTGGGGCATTGTGATGTCACATGGGGGGGCGGCAAACTTTACTTTTGCCTAGGGCGGCAAAAATCCTTGCACCGGCCCTGGCTGGAGGGGGCTGTGGGAGCTGTGGCCGCACAGTGCCCCATGGTAGTATGACATCATATTCCGGCTCCTGGCATCAGTAGACAGCCCGCGAGGGAGCAGAGAGAACACCACTCCCTCACAGGGTCTGACAGGAACTCTGCCACTCGCCACACTGAAGCCCCCACTGGACCCCAGGGAAAGATCCACACTAGCCCTCCAGGTAGGGAGGTTGGGTGGACATTTAATATTAATTTGTGTGTGTGTCTGTAAGTGTATGTGTGTGTCTGAATGTGTATGTGTGTGTCTGTGAGTGTATGCGTGTGTCTCTCTACATGAATCTGTATGTATGGGTTTCTGTGTGTGTGTGTGTGTGTGTGTGTGTCTGTATGTATGTGTCTGCATGTGTGGGGGTGGGGACATGTGGGGTAAGAGGTAGATGTATGGGGGGGGCCCCAGGTCAATTTTCGCACCGGGGCCCTGTGGTTTCTAGTTACACCTCTCCATTCAACCCTAATCCTCTATGCCGGTTGTGTATGCAAAAGTATTTATCATCCTCTTATGTATTCCACATGTAGGTCTTTTTAATGTATATCTTATATCTCCTGTCTCTTCCTATGTATTATGTACAGCCACTAGACTGTTCAGCCACTGTGGTATTCTAGAGGCTTCTGTTCCCGTTTTGATTCTATCTTCCGACACCTCGTTTTATTTGGCTCAGTGGGTCTAATGCCTTCACATGTGGCCGTACTAGACTTCATTAAATTCGCCCTTTGTGGGCGACCCAATATGACCATTCCTGCTTCGTGGGGGTTATATAGATAACTTTTTCTTGCAATGTTTCATTACACCACCAGTCTTGCTAGGCCTAAACCAACCAGCCTATACAGCCCTAACTCGGCCTGCAAAATTCTCTGGTATTGTTTAGACATTATATCATTATTTCACATATTGTCACTTAATTCTTGCACAGTATTAGCAATGTTATATGTCTTAACTCACCTACATTGAGACAATATAATCTATTGTGTTGGTTGTACACTTGTCATCCTTTGGCATGGGTCTTCTAGACGACCCTCCACCGCATGCCATGCTACTACCCTTCTAGCTTAACTACTCTTCCTACCTTTACAAAGGGACATCACTTGGTATGCTTATCCTTTTGTTCATTCCATACATCTGTACCCCTCATTCAGCCCTATTTCTCCAACCAGCAGCTCTGCCTTCTGCTACAATACCTCTACACACTGCTCTTACTCCATACGATTACACACAGCCCACCAGGGGCAACAATTTCGGCCCATCATTTGGGCATTAACAACTGTCAATTTCCTGATATACAAGAGTAAATAAATAAATAAATACAACTTTTCATACCCCGTTCCAAATTATTATGCAAATTATATTTTTCTCAAAAACACGTTATAGGTTGTAAAGAACTGAAAATTGTCATTTGTTGTGTTTGCAGCATATTTACTGAAATCAAAAGCTATTTCAATCAAACTTATAACAACATTTTAACAGGTCACGTTACATTTTAACATAGGACCCCTTATTTGATAGAACCTTCACAAGTCTTGCATCCATTGAACTTGTGAGTTTTTGGACAGTTTCTGCTTGAATTTGTTTGCAAGATGTCAGAATAGCCTCCCAGAGCTGCTGTTTGGATGTAAACTGCCTCCCACCCTCATAAATCTTTTGCTTGAGGATGCTCCAAAGGTTCTCAATAAGATTGAGGTCAGGGGAAGATGGAGGCCACACCATGACTTTCTCTCCTTTTATCCCTATAGCAGCCATTGATGCAGAGGTATTCTTTGCAGCATGAGATGGTGCATTGTCATACATGAAGATGATTTTATTACGGAAAGCATAGTTCTTCCTTCTGTACCAGGGAAGAAAGTGGTCAGTCAGAAACTCCACATACTTTGCAGAGGTCATCTTTACACCTTCGGGGACCTAAAGGGGCCGGCCAGCTCTCTTCCCATGATTCCGGCCCAAAACATAACTCCACCACCGCCTTGCTGACGTCGCAGCCTTGTTGGAACAGGGTGGCCGTCCACCAACCATCCCCTACTCCATCCATCTGGACCATCCAGGGTTGCACGGCACTCATCAGTGAACAGGACTGTTGAAAATTAGTCTTCATGTATTGTTCTGCCCAATGCAGCCGTTTCTGCTTGTGAGCATTGGTTAGCAGTGGCCGAATAAACTCTGGAGGACTCTACACCTTGATGTCCGTGGGACTCCAGAGGCATCAGCAGCTTCAAATATCTGTTTGCTGCTATGTAATGATATTTTAGCAGCTGCTCTCTTGATCCGATGCATTGATCTGGCAGAAATCTTCCTCAATGTGCCTTTATCTGCACGAACCAGTCTGTGCTCTGAATCACGCTTAAGTTTTCGTGAAATATCTAATGTTTTCATACCTCGTCCAAGGCACTGAACTGTTTCACTCTTTTTGGCAGCAGAGAGATCCTTTTTCTTCCCCATATTGCATGAAAATGGTGCTCTGCTTAATAATGTGGAACACCCTCCTTTAGTAGTTTTTCCTTAAATTGGGCTCACCTGGCAATCTAATTATCACAGTTGTCCGAGATTGTTTTCAGTGATGAAAAGAGCCCTGAGACACAATGCCATCTATCAGTTAAACTGAAAAACAAAATATTTTAATCTTTGTGACACTTAAATAGAATTTGCATAATCATTTGAAACAGGGTGTACACTCAACATAGTTAGGCCCTCCCATAGAGCCCTTTCTCGACACACTCCCAAGAACCTCGAATCTATCAATATACACTGATCAAAAAGATAAAGGGAACACAAAAATTACACATCCTAGATCTGAATAAATTAAATATTCTTCTGAAATACTTTGTTCTTTACATAGTCTTTACATAATTGAATGTGCTGACAACAAAGTCACACAAAAATAAAAAAATGGAAATCAAATTTTTCAACCCATGGAGGTCTGGATTTCGAGTCACACTCAAAATTAAAGTGGAAAAACACACTACAGGCTGATCCAACTTTGACGTAATGTCCTTAAAAACAAGTCAAAATGAGGCTCAGTTGTGTGTGTGGCCTCCACATGCCTGTATGACCTCCCTACAACGCCTGTGCATGCTCCTGATGCGGTGGCGGATGGTCTCCTGAAAGATCTCCTCCCAGACCTGGACTAAAGCATCTGCCAACTCCTGGACAGTCTGTGGTGCAACGTGATGTTGGTGTATGGAGCGAGACATGATGTCCCAGATGTGCTCAATTGGATTCAGGTCTGGGGAACGGGTGGGCCAGTCCATAACATCAATGCCTTCGTCTTGCAGGAAGTGCTGACACACTCCAGCCACATGAGGTCTAGCATTGTCTTGCATTAAGAGGAACCCAGGGCCAACTGCACCAGCATATGATCAAGGGGTCTGAGGATCTCATCTCGGTACCTAATGGCAGTCAGGCTACCTCTGGCAAGCACATAGAGAGCTGTATGGCCCCCAAAAGAAATGCCACCCCACACCATTACTGACCCACTGCCAAACCAGTCATGCTGGAGGATGTTGCAGGCAGCAGAACGTTCTCCATGGCGTCTCCAGACTCTGTCACGTCTGTCACATGTGCTCAGTGTGAACCTGCTTTCATCTGTGAAGAGCTCAGGGCACCAGTGGCGAATTTGCCAATCTTGGTGTTCTCTTGCAAATGCCAAACGTCCTGCATGGTGTTGGGCTGTAAGCACAACCCCCACCTGTGGACGTCGTGCCCTCATACAACCCTCATGGAATCTCTTTCTGACCATTTGAGCAGACACACGCACATTTGTGGCCTGCTGGAGGTCATTTTGCAGGGCTCTGGCAGTGCTCCTCCTGTTCCTCCTTCCACAAAGGCGGAGGTAGCGGTCCTGCTGCTGGGTTGTTGCCCTCCTACGTCCTCCTCCACGTCTCCTGATGTACTGGCCTGTCTCCTGGTAGCGCCTCCATGCTCTGGACACTACGCTGACAGACACAGCAAACCTTCTTGCCACAGCTCGCATTGATGTGCCATCCTGGATGAGCTGCACTATCTGAGCCACTTGTGTGGGTTGTAGACTCCGTCTCATGCTACCACTATAGTGAAAGCACCTCAGCATTCAAAAGTGACCAAACCATCAGCCAGGAAGCATAGGAACTGAGGAGTGGTCTGTGGTCACCACCTGCAGAACCACTCCTTTATTGGGGGTGTCTTGCTAATTGCCTATAAATTCCACCTGTTGTCTATCCCATTTGCACAACAGCATGTGAAATTGATTGTCACTCAGTGTTGCTTCCTAAGTGGACAGTTTGATTTCACAGAAGTGTGATTGACTTGGAGTTACATTGTGTTGTTTAAGTGTTCCCTTTATTTTTTTGAGCAGTGTACATTTAACATATCCAGGCCTCTTCATTCTGTCACTATTTTAACTGTTTTAGTTTTAACCTCTCCTCCACTTTGGGTAACTTCCTAGTTCTGGTATATTGCTTCACCCAGTACACTATGGGATTGTGATGGTTGTCTATTTCTCAGGCTGTTTTTTCTTATACATACTTTAGGTCCTTCTAATGGAAGGATGCGCAGTGGGAACTCATGCCTAGATTCAGTACATCAGGTATTCAGCATTCGAGGTAATCTGGTAATTTTGAGTTACTCCACTTGTTTGCAATGTTATGTTTTGATATGCCTTTCTATCACAATGCTTACTTGCTCCAAACTTGCGTCTGTTTGTCCTCAACTCAATTTGTGAGTGTACCCTCGCCTTGACACATACTTAACATGTTGTTTATGGCCTTTCTTACATATCAAAACACGTTAGGAGCATATCAGTAAGTCACGTCTCACCAGGTATACTTCATACCGACCATTGCATGTATGGTCAACTGGGTCACTCATTATATAGTTCAATTCCTTTGGTTAGTTGGTATCAGATATCAAAAGTATTTTGTGTTCTGGGCTCATTGCACTTTACTTACCTTACTGGCAATTTTCACACTGTTGCCATAGTTCTAAATTATGAAATCCCTAGTGTGATTTTGGTTTTGGACCGCTGTACACTTTTTTTGTTTGCCCGTTACTTTTCTATTCACTTATTCTTGCCATCAACGCCGCCAGGGTATGTCTAATCATGCCACAGTGTTTCACATTTACGTTTTTCAAGTCACCATGCAAGTGACTCGCTATACGATACTACCTCCCTTCTTACAACAACCACTCTCTACACAACTTATGTTTAGCTTGGTCTGGCTCTTGGGGTTCCTTAAGTGGCCCTAGATAGTTTTCGGCTTCTTGTGCCATTGTTTAGCAGTCCCGAGAGGCCAACTTTCATCCTCCACTACGGAGGTATTTGCCCCTCAGGCTAAATCATAGTTACTGCCTTGCATTTCTGCCCTCCTGGCAAAAGCACTTAGGGCCTCACCTGTCCCGGCCAACTTATTTTGAATGTCTTTAATCCTCACCGAGAGGCTGCCACCCCACTACCCCACCACAATGCTCGGTGGCAAACATACCCAAAGAGCCAAATCATAGGTAGAGCCTCTCATCGCCACTTAGCAACTAGTTAGGTTCTCAAGTCACCAATTTAGCTTAATTGTTTCGCCACTTGGCATAATTTAGGTCAGCCAGTATCTTGGTGTTCTACAATATCTCCCACTAACATTTTCTATTTAAGGTATGGTTATAAATGCTAATAAAATTTACAGTATTGATTGTGTAATGTCGACACGTATTAAAGTGTTAAACTATTAACTTTTTGCCCTCTTTTTTCAGGCCTACCTGAACATCATCGGTTTCGGCACACCACAACTGACTTATGCACCACTAATATAACTCTGCTTATTGTCCCCGACCATAAGTATATATATATATATTGTGAGCGTAAAAGTGGAATAGTGGTTGATGGAAGATACATCAGGCCTGATTAGCTAAACAGCAACCAGAGGATTTTCAGTTAAATGCCCCAGGGAGAGATGTTAAAGTTTGCAATATACATTGCTGATGCTCTGCAAAACATGGTATGGGTCCCTGGGGTGGAGTATTTGGAGAGCAGGATGGGCCAATGCTCCTACAGCACTAGTTGCTGTGTAACAGACCAGAATTTGGATCTGACTTAAGAGTTTACTAATTGGCACTCACCTGCAGCTAGTCAATTAGCAGACAAGTCTTTAAAAGAAGAGAGCAGCCTGCTGCAGAGTGAGGGAGAAAAAGCCAGCTAGGAGAGTGAATGACAATTGTGTTTATTGCAAAGACATTTCTTTTTTTGGGGGGAAAATTGGTAAGTGGGAAAACCACCCAATTACAGATAGTGATTTCTGTCTAGTAAGAGCTCAAGTAAGAGCAAGGAATTTTGTTTGTTATTATTTAAAGCACCTGCTTTCTTATCAAATAAAAAGGAAAACCGAGCTGAATGTGTCCTGGACTTTGTATACCCTAGAAGGCTGTGGTTACTGCAAGATCTGTGACAATCCTACGGGTAAAAGAGGTGGTTTGTTACAATATATATATATATATATATATATATATATATTGTATTACCATGATTCATAACAGCACAGCTAAAATAAGAGAGAATGTCATTTGCAAGCACTATATTTGACCCTGTAAATTCCCAAATCCTATAAAACCTGTACATGGGGATACTGTTGTACTCATGAGAAAACCCTGAACACAAATATGAGTGTTTTAAAGCCTTAAAACATGCAATGACTGTGATATCATCAGTGAAAGTGCAGTTTAAGTGTGAAAAATGCAAAAAAAAAACAAATATCAACACTTATTTGGCCAGGGTTTGTGACGAAGTGGCTACTGAAAAAGAATGGACATGCCCCCTTTTGATTACCATGGCTTGACTACTTTTGCAAATGGTATGATATGATGCATGTAATTTTCATTCCTGAGCTGTCATACGGTCTCAAAGGCAACATAGGCCAGCAAACCAATCTGGTAAATTTAATTGTGTAAAGCTGAAATGGGTAAGCCCAAATATTTGATCCTGTTACTTTCCAAAACACCGTGAAATCTGTACGTGGGTGGCATGGTTGTACTCATTACATCATCCAAATATGTGTATTGTATTGCAAAAAAAGCTAATATTATTATGACATTCACAGTTAAAATACCACGCAGAACTTGAAAAAAAACACAATTTATTAATTTCTCACACTTTTCTACATTTTATTCATATTAAATTATGTTTCATATATAAATATGTGAAAAGCAAGCTCTGTTTCTCCTGAACAAAATGATATATAATAAGTGTGGGTGCACTTAATATGAAAGAGGTAAATTATGGTTGAACAGACATACAGTCTTGTTCAAGGTTTTATATTGGTTCAGAACTTGGATAATTGCCTTCGTCCTTAAGGGGTAAATATTAATTGGTGGCTGATCCGTGCAACTTTCTTTGTATTTTAATTTTAGGATTATTATTTATTTTTATTAGTTAATATTTCCCTATGTTGATTCAAAGGCCATGTTTTACTCAGTCAGTGCAGCGAATGAGCCTCTATTGGGAGTCATGCTGATAGTGAATTAGACATACTAACTGCAATATCTGAAAGGAACATTACCGTAAATGTTTCAACGTCCATTCTAGTAAAAAGAAACCTATTAAAAGAGCAATTTCAAATACTGCACAAAACCTGTGTACATTTCTATGACTGGTTCTATCATTAATCACATGGATTGTGATTTATGTAAACTCATTGCCAAGGACATATTTCTGTATTTCACATAATACAACTTTATACCTTACTTTGTACATGGAAAATATTAACTAATTTGCATGATATATTCGATGGAAAATGAATGCCATTCTGAAGACTCTACAGGAAAAGGTTTAACTGGAAAATCAATATATTTTTGTAGCATTATGCATGTACATGTACATTTCTTGCAGTGACACAGTATTGTATGTTTTCTCTTTTATTTGTTGAAATAAATATATCAGCTTTTTGCCTTAGATAATTGATTCACGGAACAATAATTTGCGAAGGCTGAAACACAGCTTTAAAGATGTTCTGCGTGACACGAGTCACTTTGTTTGGCTGATCAAGTGGCAAATGTTTAGATGATCAAATTAAACAATAAAGAACAATTTTGTGGTTGTCATTAGGAGAGGCTGGGCATTGGTGGGATGTGGGAGGATCTTTTTTTTTTGACTCTGAACTAAAAAGGTAGCTGACTGTGTGATTAGTGAAAGGAGACAGCCTGCAAATCCATGACCATGAGGATTCTTAGCAGTGTGATAAAGCTTGGTGTGATCAACTCTACAGTATGTATATAGTATATCATTGCACTGAGTTTTGTAGACAGGGACAAAAAAAGCAAAACAAAAAAATCCTTTCATCTGTCTAACTTTGCAGTAGCTTGTTTATAGTAATGTTAACTTATTTTACCTGCTGTAGTGACTTTTATGTGTGTATGTTTATGTATGTTTCATGTTGTGACCTCTACTGTAATGTAAAGGTTTACATTACATGGTTTATGGTGCATCTGTCTCTTTTAGTTCTGTAGAATATAGTTTGTATATTCATGGAGTACTGAGGCTTATTACTGCGCATTCACGTTGTAGTAACTGCACCTTGTGATATTTTATTATGATTTGCTTGACTCCATTATTAAGGCAAATCAGGTTATTATTAAAATGACACTCTTAGCAACACAAACACCTTAGTTTATTATAATAGATATTATAGAGTCTTTGTCAACCTTTTTGAAAACCATGGCTGACAACACACAACGTTCTACCTCTGTTGCTGCTTAGATAATATAAACGTTTTACTTTACCAAACAATTCATACAAATCTAGAGTGCTTTTGATTCTCGTGGCTTAGCCCAGTGCTTGCAGCCTATTGTTGCTTTTGAAACTGGACAGCTATGAATGAATAAGGCAAAAATGAAAGGGTAGTCTTACAATTGTGAATATTGTGTGTAAATAATTTGGGCAGTGTGGCAATTCTTAGGGCAAACTGTGAATCCTTCGGACAATCTGTGAAGGCTCAGGCCAGTGTTGGTAATGTTTGAGTAGACTGTGAACATGTGGGTTGTGAAATGTTTGCTATTTAATATGTACTATTACTGTTTGCTTTGTACTATTATAGCCTACACCTAAAAAGTCAAATTTCTTCCAACCACTCTATATTAATCATATACAATAAAATGTTGAATTGTTGAACTATATTAGCAAAAACTATTTTTTCCACTTATGAATGAGATAAAGAAGGAGGAAGAGGAAGAGAGACACATAGCCCTTTGTAACTCTGCTTGCTATAAATATCATTGCAGTTAGTGTGTTGCACACGACTACCCTGTTTTACTGATTAGACAACAGTCAAGTAACCCCTACAAATGGTAGGGGACTCTATAATTAAGAGTAGATAGGCTAATCCAGTGTTTCCCAACCCAGTCCTCAAGGCACACCTACCAGTCCAGGATTTAGGGATTACCCAGTTGTGTCTAAGGTGTTTTTACAAAGAAGAAAAAAAACACCTTAGACACAACTGGGTAATCCCTAAATCCTGGACTGGTAGGTGTACCTTGAGGACTGGGTTGGGAAACACTGGGCTAATCTGCCACTCTGACCGCCTCAACCGGGCAATTTGCTGTTCCCAGTAGTTTGGGTCTGGCATGTTGCCTACTGAGTGGATGGATTATTCAGAGGGGCTGGGGATGACCTGGCTGTCATGGTCCATGTTGGTACCAATGACAAAGTCAAAGAAAAATGGAGGATACTAAAGCATGAGTTCAATGAATTGGGAGGAAAACTGAAGAAAAGGACATCCAAGGTGGTATTTTCTGAGATATTCCCTGTGTGGTGTGCTTCATTAGAAAGGTAGCAGGAGATTAAGGAGGTCATGCTGTAGGAAGGAAGATTTTGACTTTTTTAAAGCACTGGGCTGATTTTGCAAATCTTTATAAGTGTGATGTTATGCACTTAAATGGAAGATGGTATGCTGTGCTGTGGGACAGGGTGGCTAGAAGGTTGGGGGAAATTTTAAACTAGCTGTAGGGGGAGGGGAGATGCAGGAGGGGCAAGATGAGAACAGAGGATGTATATAATAGTAATACAAATTCACATAAAGTACAAGTGACTCATTATAATATTAAATGTATGCTTCATAATGCAAGCAGCCTAAATAACAAAATGAGGGAACTAGAGGCAATAGTGTAAACTAAGCAATATGCATAACAGGCATAAAAGAAACATGGTGGAATGAGAAACATCACTGGGCATGTAAATTGAATTTAATTAAGGATAGAAAAAGGTGGTGGGTTATGTGTGTATGTCAACCATGAGTTAAATCCAAATCTTCAGCAAGTGGAATGTGGTGAGGAAATTGTGGAAGCTTTATGGGTAGATACCTGCTTGGGGCAAAAGAAGGGAAATCAGTTATTGGCTGGAATATGTTATAAACCATGTTGATATTGGTGAGCAAGAACAGTCATTAGAGGAAATTGGAAAAGCTGCATATCTGGGTAACATGTTTACCCGGACATAAACTGTGATAGAGGCAGTGGCGTACATACTGGAGTCGCAGGTGTCCCGGCTACGACCGGGCCCGGCCCACCAGGGGGCCCGGCCGCCCTGCGACCCGGTATGCACATCAGTGGCAGTGTGGCCACATTTTGCCACCCTCTTCTCCTGGGGGGCCCAGGAGCTGGCCACCTCAGGGTCCCCTGAGGCTGGCAGTGGCTTCAGTTTGTTGGTGGCCGGGCTGCTCGCCCCTGAGTGCTCTCTGCCCAGCTCCCTCGCGCTGCTTACTGATGCCGGAGCCGGAATATGACGCGCGCGAGGGAGCTGGGCAGAGAGCACTCGGGGGAGAGTGCTCCCTCCCTCGCACGCACGCCCAACAGCCCGGCTGGCAGCCCAGCTGGACCCCATTGGACCCCAGGGACAGCAGGAATCCCCACAGCACTCCCAAAGGTAGATTAAAAAAAATGTGTGTGTATGTGTGTTAGTTTGTGTGTTAGTTTGTGTGTTACTGTGTGTGTGTCACTGAGTGTGTTTGTGTGTCTGTTATTGAGTGTCTGCTAGTGAGTGTCAGTGTGTGTGTTACTGTGTGTGTCTGTTAGTGAGTGTGTGTTTGTCAGTGAGAGTGTATGTTCTCCATGTGATAAAAGAAAGTCAATAACTAGAAAGAGAAAATTATAGACAAAGAGAGCAAAACCAACAAAAACAATGAAAGTGTAAATAAACTGAAAACAGAGAACAGAATGTGTTAGTTAATGAAGATAACTATTTTTCCACAATATTTATTAAGGAAGAAACTATAGCAAGAGATATGCAAATGATTGCTGCAAAAAACTTGCAGGAAACATTGTGAGTGGATGACTCAAGACAAGGTGCTGCAACAACTAAAGAAAGTTAATGTATACAAAGGGTCTGAAGGTGTTCACCTACAAGTACTTAAGAAGCAAAGTGTGGAAATAAGTGAACCTCTGTTTTTAATCTTTCAGGATTGTTTTGTTTCAGGAGTTGTACCAGAGGATTTAAAGAAGGCAGGTGTGGTTCCTATAATTAAAAAGGCACACTTTTTTTGCCTGGAAATTATAGATCTTTGAGCTTAATGTCTGTGGCTGGGAAATGTTTGAAGGGTTATTAAGGGATAATATTGAGGAATTCATTGAGAAGAACAATATTATTAGCAAAAATCTCCATGATTTCATGAAACATAGGTCATGTCAAACTAACTGAATTGCATTCTACGAAGAAGTAAGTAGAAGTATAGATCAGGGTTTTGCAGTGGATTGAGCAACTTGGATTTCTCCAAGGCATTCAATATGGTCTCACACCGTAGGCTAGTTTTTAAGCTAAAAGAAATCGGTGCAGATGAAAAACATGATTTTGGGTAGAACATTGACTTAAAAATAGAGTACAGAGAGTTGTCATTTATTAATTTGCAAGTGGACAAAAGTGGTAAGTGGTGTCCATCATGGTTCTGTTCTGGGACCACTTCTATTTAACATATTTATAAATTATCTTGAAACAGGCAAACAAAAGTCATGTTTCAGTGTTTCCAGATTACGCAAAACTCTGTAAAGCAGGGGTGCCCAAAAGGTAACATAGAAACATAGAATGTGACGGCAGATAAGAACCATTCGGCCCATCTAGTCTGCCCAATTTTCGAAATACCTTATCTTATAGTTAGGATAGCCTTATGCCTATCCCACGCATGCTTAAACTCCTTTACTGTGTTAACCTCTACCACTTCAGCTGGAAGGCTATTCCATGCATCCACTACACTCTTGGTAAAGTAATATTTCCTGATATTTTTAAACCTTTGTCCCTCTAATTTAAGATTATGTCCTCTTGTTGTGGTAGTTTTTCTTCTTTTAAATATAGTCTCCTCTTTTACTGTGTTGATTCCCTTTATGTATTTAAATGTTTCTATCATATCCCCCTTGTCTCGTCTTTCCTCCAAGCTATACATGTTAAGATCCTTTAACCTTTCCTGGTAAGTTTTATCCCGCAATCCATGAACAAGTTTAGTAGCCCTTCTCTGAACCCTCTCTAAGGTATCAATATCCTTCTGAAGATACGGTCTCCAGTACTGTGTACAATACTCCAAGTGAGGTCTCACCAGTGTTCTGTACAATGGCATGAGCACTTCCCTCTTTCTACTGCTAATACCTCTCCCTATACAACCAAGCATTCTGCTAGCATTTCCTGCTGCTCTATTACATTGTCTGCCTACCTTTAAGTCATCAGAAATAATCACCCCTAAATCCCTTTCCTCATATGTTGAGGTTAGGACTCTATCAAATATTCTGTACTCTGCCCTTGGGTTTTTACGTCCAAGATGCATTATCTTGCACTTAACCACATTAAATGTCAGTTTCCACAACTCTGACCATTTTTCTAGTTTACCTAAATCAACAGATGTAGAACTACAACTTCCATAATGCATTGCATGCCTTTAAAATTACAAAGCATGATGGAAGCTGTACTTTTGAAATATTTGGGGATCTACCTTCTGGGCAGTCCTGCTGTAAAGTAATACAATATGAGCAGGGTATTACTTTGCTGCACATTGATTTAGATATATTGGGCAACTGGGTAGTCAAATGGAAGAGTAAATTTGTAGGTAAATGCTAAATTATGCACTTTGGTGTAACGAATGGACAAGGAACTTACACCCTAAACGGTAGTGAATTACAACACACGAGAAGGATCTTGGAATTGTTATAGACAACAAACAAAGCAAAAATGTGCAATATAATTTAGCATTTGCTTAGGCCAGTAATTCGCATGTATAAAAGCGAGCATTAATTCTCAAATGAAAATATAATGTTGTCTCTTTATAAATCTCTTGAAAGAACACACATGGAATATGCTGTGCATTTTTGGGCACCTGTTTTAAAGAAGAATATTGTGAAGAAACCACCCATTTAGTTCGTTCACTTTGATTTTTCTCGTTCGGTAGATAAAACTACTGAACACCAACCACCCCCCTGGCTCATTAACTACAAAGAAAAAACACAGATTAAGTGCTCTCTCTGTGTGGCCGCCATTCGTATGGCCGAACGTCACATGCTGGAGAAAATGGCAGCCATCTTGTCGCACGAAAAGAGGCAGCGGGACTTGGTCGTCGAGTGTCTGGAACTAAATTCTGACACTCGACTTCTCAAACAACGGTCAACTTCGCAAATGACTGCTT